TATATCATAGTAAAATTATATTTGTGTAATGAAATCAGTAATCATCTACTATAATGAATAATTCGTTAACACTATAACGAAGATTCTTATAATGAAGTCCTGATCAGCTGGATTGGCAACTTCGTTATATCGAGGTGTGACTGTAATCTATAACTACTATGAGATATCAATTTCCATTTGTTGTTACTAGCAGAAGTCCTTTTATATCTATACCAATTTTTTTAAAAGGTTCCTTCACTGGTATTAGGTGAGGTTTTTTGTCCTTTTGGGCTTTCCTCTTCTTTGATACATATTATAGTATTGAATATATTTTCTAACACTTTCATACATCTGTGACCAATAGTACCTTCTTTTAATTTTTCATATGTTGTCTCCATTCCAAAGTGCGTTCCAGTGAGATCCTTATGCAGATTGAATAATATTAATTCAGTTTGTTCTGGTAATATAACTCATTGGGTTGTCCATTTTTGCGTCGTCTAAATAAATGTTATCTCATCGTAAAATACTTATTGGATTGCTTTCTAATTTGGAATTTCCATTGTTCATTTGCCTTTTCTGGGTATGTGAGGGTTATTAAGTATTTGAATATATCATTGTATTCACTTTTATTCATTTCTTATGATGATTAGTTGTTGAGGATGTTTGTATTGGAATTTTGGATAATACGTCAGGTATTGAGTTATATTTTCCTTTCTTATAAATGATCTCATAGTTGTAATCTTGCAAGATCATTCTCCACCTGGAATGTCGTCCATTTGTACTTTGGTTATTATTTAGTAATCATACGAGTATGCTATGGTCAGTATAAATCTTAAATTTCCTTCTGTGTAGATAATGTCTAAACCTTCCTAAGGCCCAGATCATAGCGAAGGCTTCCAAATTTGTGGTGTCATAGTTTTATTCATATTTGTACAGAGTTCTACTATCGTAGCAATAGGATGTACTTTCCTTTGTTCATCTTTCTTTAATAATACTGCTTCTACTGCTACTTTTGATGCATTAGTTGTTAAGATGAACTCTTTATCCAGGTCTGAATATGATAGCACTGGTTCTTTTATTAAATATTCCTTTAATATTTCAAAGGAATTTTGCTGTTATTCCTCCTATTAGTATTGACCTTCAATTTCCAATAGCTTGAATAATGGCTTTGCAGTTCTTGAAAATTCTTTAATAAATTTTCTATAATATGCTATCATTTCAATGAACCTTTTGAGTTCTTTTTGATTCCTTGGTTCTGGATAATTTTTAATCTTGATCACCTTTTATGGATCTGGTTTAATTCCATCAATTCCCACGATATGTCCAAGGAATTAGACTTCTCTTGATGTGAAGTGACATTTGTCAGGGTTGATTTTAAGTTCTGCGTCTCTGAATCTCGATATTACTTCCTTTATATATTCCACATATTTATCCTGTTTTTGAGTAGATGGTAATATCATCAATGTAGTCTAGGGCAAACTTCCATAATATATATCCTAACATGTTATTCATGATTTGGAATGTAGCTGAAGTATTGCATAATCCAAACGGCATAACATTATATTCATACAATCCATACTTGGTAATAAATGCTGTTTTCTCCTTATCTTCCTCTGCAACTTTCATCTGCCAATATCCTGATGCAAGATTTATTAATGTGAACCATTTTGCTTCTTGGAGACTATCAATAATCTCATGAATAAGTCATAGAGAATACTTATCCTTTTCGTTATGTCACTCAGTTTCCTGTAATCCACACAAAATCTTGTCTATTTTTCTTTTTAACAAGAACCACTGGTAAGGCCTATAGGCTATTAGATGGTCTAATGAATCCTCTTTCTAATCCATTATTAATTTCTTTCTTGATTATCTCATTTTCTACCGGTGATATGTGGTAGACCCTTTGACTTATCGGTGGTCTTTCCTCTGTGTATATTTTATGCTTGAATGCATTTGTTCTGCCGATTTCTTCTTCCTTAACCACTACATCTTCATATGATTGTAGTGTTTGCAGTAATTGCTCCTTCTGTTTGCCTTTAATTTCTCCAATTACTGTCTTTTTTCCCTCATCTATAGAAAGCATTTGACCATTTTCTTCAATTTGGATTTTTGTAAATCTCTCTTTCTTTCATTCTATTGTAACAGTTATGTTCTCTAAAGGTATTTCAATGAGTTCACCTTTCTGATATATTGCTAGTATTTCTTCAGGTAATTCTGGATCTTCTAGTTTCAATCCCAAATCAGATTCTTCTTTTAACTTTATCTTTTTCTCAAATCTGATCCTTTGCCAGAATGTTATAAGTACGCTTTCATAAATAGGCTGTTTATTAATGGATTCTTCTACTTGGTAAAATAGCTTCTTTTGGTAGAAATCTATTTTTACATTCCCATTCGTTTCCTAGAATTACTGAGTAGGCTTCAGAGTCCATAACTGCAGTTTCAATTTTTCAAATTGTTGTATTTATTTTGATTGATTGGAAGTTGATGGATGACTCCTAATGGTGTTGTAATTTTTCCATTTTTTCCAATTAGGGTTTTATCTGGTGATCCATCAATTTCCAATCCAATTTCATCTAAGAAGCCTTTTGATACAGCGTTTCTTACTGCGCCTGTATCGATTATTATATTTATTTTTTTTTCAGCAACTTTTACTTCTATGAACAGTTTGTCTTTAGGTGATTGATGTTGTGTAGTTGCACTAGGTTCTTCTTCTTCTTGTAGATTATTCTGTGAAATAATTTTTGGACATTTCTTGGTCAATTCTCCAATTGGATCCAATTTGCTCAAGATTTTGTGTGCAAATCTCACATGTGTTGGAGTTAACTGTCCATTTTCTATCAGATTCAGATATCTTTCTTAGTCTATAGACCTTCATAGACTAGTTTTATTTTCTTTCATCCATATTGGTATTTTATTCTTCTTTAGCTTGGTAATGTATACATCGCAATTGTATACAGGATCATTAAATATTTTTCTAATCCTTTTCAATGGAAGATCTTAGGTTTCACAATTCGATTTGATATTTGAATATTTGATTTGATCAAATTCAAATCAAAGAATGATTTATTTGATCAAAT